TGGCGGTAGCAGTAGTAGCAGTAGCAGTAGCAGTAGCAGTAGTAGTAGTAGTAGTAGTAGTAGTAGTAGTAGTAGTAGTAGTAGTAGTAGTAGTAGTAGTAGTAGTAGTAGAAGTAGTAGTAGGTGGTGGTGGTGGTGGTGGTGGTGGTGGTAGTAGTAGTAGTACTGAAATTGGAATCGGGAAGCAGTGGGGCGATGGAGTCGGCAAGTACTGGTGAACCTATCACTGCCTATATACATTTTCATCAACACACATGCACTGCTAAACTGGCACGGATCTGGTATCCCCCTTTTTTCTCCGCAAAAGGGGCAAGCGGCAGATTCGATCTCCTGCGGGAGAGCCTCGCAGGATGAAAGCTGGTTTGGAAATGGCATCATATATAGAGCCATGTCCTTCGGGACCTTTTAAAGATCCCTTAGGGACCTGTTAAAGATCCTATTCTGGGCTGCTGCTACATGCCGTTAACTGTGCAGGCGAGCATATAGGGACCTTTTACACTTTTACAGATCCTATTCCGGGCTGCTGTTTTGCAGCAAGCATGTTCATGCGTGGGCATCAGAGCAGCACCCATCCCTCTGGCACGTCGTCGCCCAAGGCGCGGATGAAGGTGAACTGGCCCACATACATGATCGCACGGGCACCATCCGGAGTCCGAAACACCTGGTGCCCGTGAACCCGGCCAGTGAGCTCACGAAACTGCAGCTCTGGATGCCGACGTACGCCCTGATCCGGGCAACATGCAAAGTCCATCAAAGTGATGCAATTTGCGTATCCCGGACGTCGAAGGACCAAAAACCTTGTTGAGCATAGGCCCTTCTGTTGGTCCGGGTTCGACGACGGAAGAAGACGTGGCCCAAATTTTGCCCGTCGTGGTGGAAAATGAGCCACTCATCATTCCGCCCCAGGTGACGCATGTCCTGGTACTTGAACAGGCTGTACCTGTGCAGGGCAAACAGGACAGGTCGCAGGTAAGCCACGGGGAATCTGCAAAACAAAATCTAGTGGTTTGAGCAGAAGCGCCGGTTCCACAAGCATGCCTGCACATGAGAAGAGACAACAAGGTTTTTAGGGTTTAGGGCTTCAGGGGGCTGCATGGGTTATGACAAATTTGGGGCTGTTGTTGTCGAGCCAAATATAAGTTATAAGTTATAAGTTATAAGTTATATAACGTTAAACGGGGTAGAATCAGGGTCGCTTGGTGGGATAAATCGGGGTCGTTTCCATTATGTCGGTGTAGGGTAAAACGGGGTGGTTCACATTGATATTGTGGATTACTGTGTCGGGGCAAAATAGGGTGGTTTCCATAAAGTTGTGGTTACATGATCTACAACATCAGGTGGGGAAAAGTAGGGGCGGCATAGACATTGACATTGACATAGACATGTGACATTGACATAGAAATTGTGACTTGTGACATTGACATAGACATAGACACATAAGACGTGGAAGTGTCGTGACATGTGACATGTGACCCGACAACTCAGACGACTCTTACCCTTCCCGCCCTTCCCCAGGCCCTCTGCCAAACCGACGGAATTTTTTGGCGCCACCCGTGCACTCGGCTTTGAGTCAAGCGCCGCGCGCCGGCAGCGTGGAGGCCTGGCTGACAGCCGAAGGCACGTTGTGATGGAGCCGCCGAGCTGCGCTGCTGGCCGCCGTGGCAACCGTGGTTGGAGGCCTGGCTGACAGCCGAAGGCACGCTGGCACGCTTTTGCCTGGCTGACAGGCGAAGGCACCGCTGCTACTGGCTGACAGCCGAAAGCAGAAGCACTGGCCTTGCTGACAGCAGAAACTCAGCGCCACTGCCTGTACCTTTCACCGCGATCCCTGCGTGCCTGGCTCGCGTGCGTGCCCTTTCGTCTCTGGTCTGGCGGGAGCGATCGGGGAACATGGCTCTTGAGGAGGGCCCCTGCGCGCCTGTGCCCCTGAGGTTGTGGTGACGCCGCAGGTACTCGCGCATCTCGACATTGCCAACGTCGAAGGCGTTGCGCCTGGTAGCGGCGTGGCACGAGTGCACATCTGCCCTAGCCTCATATGAGGCGCTGAACCATGGTCACCGAGCCGACGCCGGCAGCCCGCAGCAAGGCAGTGGCCCCGCGAGCGTCGCGAGCCTCCGGGTTGGCGTTGCGTTCCATCAAAATGGAAGCCAACCTGCACCGCAACCGCTCAGAGTCGCGGCCTGCGCCAGCCAGCATGTGCAGGGCTGTCGCGCCGGCCGGGCGGCCCCTTACTGACCGGCGCCTCCTGCGCCACACGCAGCGCCAAGAGCTCGCTGACTTAATGAAGGCGGACGTCCTCGGCCAAGAGGTGAAGGACGTTGTGGCCGTCCTGGTTGGTGTCGGCGCCGTTGCGGAGCCCGTGGTGGGCGTAGTAGCTGTCCACGCCCAGCACCTCGTCGACCTGCGCCAGCTCTGCCAGAAGGCGTTGTCTGTCCGAGCGCGCCTTCAGACTTACCTCAGGCTGGGGCGCAGTGTCCGCCTCTCTTTTGACCTGCTGGCCCTGCTGGCTGACAGCCGAAGAGCGGCGCGGCGGCGGTGGTCGAGGAGGGAGAGGGTTCTGGTGGCCAGCCGGAGGCAGAGTGGGCTGGCGCTGCCTGGCTCGCCGCTGCAGCAGGCACTGCGGTGGCGCTCGACGCTGCTGGCGCTTCCTCTGGTGCTTCTCTTGTCTCTGCCTGGCTGACAGCCGGGAGCAGGTGGACCACTTGCTGGGGTCTGGCTGACAGCCGGAGTCGGTGCTGCAGGCGGACCACACTTGTTGGGGCCTGGCTGACAGCCGGAGTCGGTGCTGCAGGAGGCGCTGCTGCAGCTGGGGTGCTGCTTTCTGCAGTGACGCAAGGTGGCGGTGCCTTTGCAGTGGTGGGGACTCCTTCGTTTTCTTCTTTGACGGCTTCTGGCTTCTTCTTCGGAGGTGCTTTCAGCTCAGGGGCTGCGCTGTCTTGGCCGAGGGCTCACCAGGAGGAGCCTTGGAGGTAAGCGGCAGCTGTGGCGGCTTGGTTTCCTGGCTGACAGCCGAACCTGCCGCTTCGCGGGCCCGCACCTCGCGCTGCTTCTCCCGAATCTTGTTCATGTGCCACTCTGTCATGAGGTGCGCTTGCAGGTGCAGGTCCGACGGACACGTTATGTTGCCGCTGGTGACGTCGAAGAGATACCGCGGCTCTGGCTCCACGGCCTCTGCCATGGCCGTCGGCATCCTTTTGACAGGAACGTCCTTCTGGCTGACAGCCGAAGTCTGGCTTTGGCCGCCTTGGTCACCTTTGCCTTTGCCCTTGCTCTGGCTGACAGCCGAAGCCGGGCTTTTGCCGCCTTGGTCACCGCCCCAGCAAACTCTGAGAAGAGCTGCGGGCAACCACTGTTTGTACTTACCTTTGCCCTTCTGGATTGGCCGCTTGCGTTCATCAAGATTGATGAGATCTTCTGACGTTTTGGCGTGCCGCCCATTGTATCTCCCAATCAAGCTGCGTACTCTCAAAGCCACCTGATGCTTGTGTTGTTTGGAAAGCTTCAGACTGCGTGCTAGTCTCGCAAACTTGGTCGACAGCGGCCCTCGGTGAGCTGGGGTGTCTGTGCTCTTCATAACCTCCCTGACCAGCGCATCGAGCTGCTCCAACTCCTCATCCGACATGTCTTCTGGCTGTCAGCCGAAGTTTCAAAGGTCGCAAGGGCGAAAGCGCATGGCTCAGAACGAACCCCTGTTCGAGCCACCTTTTGGATCACAAACAACGGCGAGTCACTTCTATGAGTCTATGCTGCCATGCTGTCGCCTTTTCAGAAGCACGGCCCACCCTGTAGTCACATCCAGTGTCAGCAGTCATATACTCATATAATGACTCATATACACTCATATAGATAGTAGCCATGATAATGACGATATTCGAAATTATTTATATATATATATATATATATTTCATAAAAATATAATGTGAATTATTGTATTATTAATATTAATCAATTAATAATTAATTATTAGAAAATTAATTAAAATTCGAAAATTCGTATTTCAGGAATCATGCATTTCATGGTTCGCCGGGAAATTCCGGAAATTCGAATATCATGAATCTCATGATTTTCCGGAAATTCCGGAAAATAGGCTTTCATGAATTTCATGATTTTCCTGAAATTCCGGAAATTCCACAAATTCGGATTTCATGAATTTCATGATTTTCCGGAAATTCCGCAACATAGGCTTTCATGAATTTCATGATTTTCCGGAAATTCCGGAAAATCGGCTTTCATGAATTTCATGATTTCCCTGAAATTCCGGAAATTCGGATTTCATGAATTTCATGATTTTCCGGAAATTCCGGAAAATAGGCTTTCATGAATTTCATGATTTTCCGGAAATTCCGGAAAATCGGCTTTCATGAATTTCATGATTTTCCTGAAATTCCGGAAATTCCGGAAATTCTGATTTCATGAATTTCATGATTTGCCTGAAATTCCGGAAAATAGGCTTTCATGAATTTCATGATTTTCCGGAAATTCCGGAAAATCAGCTTTCATGAATTTCATGATTTTCCTGAAATTCCGGAAATTCCGGAAATTCTGATTTCATGAATTTCATGATTTGCCGGAAATTCCGGAAATTCGAATTTCTGTATTTCTGACGTTTTCGATTTGTTTGTACTATATGGCTCTTAATGATTATCGGAATATCTGACATCTGAATTTCCGGGGTGGCAATTGTAGAGTTTCCACAATGCCTGTTTGGCAAGCTCTTGGATTCAGTCAATATATATATATATAATTATATATAGATAGATAGTATAGTCAGTACAGTTATATCAGAGAACCCAGAGGAACACCGTTACTACTGTACCGGCACCATATGCTACTTATATGCAGTTTCACATCCCTGACAAAACAAGTTCAAGCCTAAATAGGCAAACAATCCTCTACCCTAAGCCCTAGACCCTAAACCCGACCTTAAACCTCGGATCCTAAACCTACACCCAAATGCTGCCCACCCTAGACCGTTTTAACTGTGGAGGAAGCCAGGGCTCAACGCATCCACGTAGGTTGTTGCATGACGGTGCGCTTGCATCTGCAGCTCCACGACCTATGTTAGGGCTTATGGGGCTTAGGGTGGTTTCAGGAGTTTAAGGCCTATAGGGTTTAGGGGTTTCGGGCTTGTGAGGCTTTGGGTTTAGGAGTTTCGTGAGGCTTTAGGGCTTTGGCTTGGGAATTGGGTTCAACCGTTTTGGCTACAGGGATTGATGGGTTGGCAGGGTCTATAGGAAGCCGCAAGATTCGCATGTCAGAGGTGCTTGAGATTGCAAAAACTGAGGTTCTGGGGCCCAAACCCTAAACTTTAAAGCTTCTAACCTCTAGCTCATACCCCGCAAACAACTAAACCCTCTGCCCTGAGCTCAGTTTTGGTCCCATCGACCTTGGCGACACACTTGCAGAACTCATCGGCATGGATAGTCACCAGCTTCGTGAAGCCGTCGGAGATGAAATCCTGGGCTGATGTTCGGATCAGTATAGAACCAACATACGGGGTTCCGTAGATTATAAACACCTTTGCTCTGCCCTAAGGCCGCAAAGTAGTTCCTTTTTGGGATTACCTATTAGGATTCTAAATATGAACCCCCAAAAGGAACTACTTTAGGGCCTTAGGGTGTGTGTGTGTGTGGGGGGGGGGGGGGGTTGTGTGTGTGCGATTATGGGCCTACATATTTCACGAGGCCGAGTGGACTAAGAAGCCCTCATGACTCATGACGCCGATGCTCGGGCCTTGTCAACTAGAACAAAAAGGGTCTGGGAGGGTAGAGCTTAAGACTATACTCCTGTGTTCTGAGAAACTCCCATAGTTGAACGCAGGCGAAAATGATGCACATAGCGGCCTGAATAGATTTACATTTTGCGGGTCATGCTGTCCTAACTATACAGAGCTTTAAATTTATACTTGTGGTGATGCAGAGCCCATCAAACATTTAAGTTTTCAATTTGTCTGGCCTTCATACTTGACACTACGATGTGCTTTTGGTATCAGGGATGAATCTTCAACAGATGCTGGCCTTGCGGCCACGATGAAATTGGGACCGTTTGGCTTGGGGTTTAATGTGTAACAGGCTTTAGTAGGTGCTCTCTTCCAAACTTGGATTCTCGACTTTAGTCTCGCGGTGAGGGTGTTTTGGAGTCCGAAAGCGAGGGCTCTCCTTGCAGAGCCTGACCGCTACACTTTAAACTCTCTTCAAAAGCCCAAGCCGGCTAATTGCAGATCTCAGTCCCCTAAAGCCAACCCCTTCCTGTGGCCCAGCAAGTCTACCTGTGCAAGGAATTTTGTATAGAAGCCAAAACAAGGACCTAGAAAAGGTAGGTTTCTTCGGCTACACACAAATCCTAAACCAATGTCTGCCACGTCTCGCCGACATGAGCCCACTGACACCATAGGCACATCTCGGAGATCCACTGACCCTCCTCACGTTGATTCAGGGTTTACGGTTTCGGGTTCAACTTGATGGATGAGCGCTTATATGGCAGGTGGCTGCCTTGGACTATTGAAAAATGTCGAATCGAGCTTCTTTGACCGATCTCTTTGGTCTGCATCACAAAGGTAAGACTTGAGATTCCACGCAATAGATCTATTGTGTGTGAGCTTAACCCGCGGTAACCCCCAGAACCCATCGCATCCACCCTACTTCTTTTCGTCAAAAGAGCGTCTGAGTAAGCTTCGGGGCTCATATCTGGAGGGTATTCAGGTCCTAAGCCCTAGACCTGAGCTGTATCATCCCGAATGAGCTTGCGGGTGTGCAGTGCTGCAACCTCGACAGCTGGCCCGGAACAAATTTCAAGACAGCGGAAGACATCATCAAGGCTTAACGGCATGCAAAAACCATGCGAAACAAACCCTAAACCCGAAACCCAAACCCTAAACCCTAAACCCTGAACCCAAACCCTAAACCCTACACCCTAAACCCCAAACCCTAAACCCTAAACCCAAAGCCCTAAACCCTAAACCTAAACCCTCAACCTGGGGTCCCTATACTAACTAACTCCCCAAAGAGGCGTGTGATCCGGAAATGTATAAGGGCTCCTTTCAGGGCTACTACAAGGGTTCCGACAAGGGTGACTGCCAGAATCGGAGGCCTCAAAAGGTGGGATGAAGGTAGGCTCTTATTTGGGAATATGTCACCTACCTTCATCCCTAAACCCTAAACCCTAAACCCTGAAGAGAGTAGGAAGTGATCCAGCCTGCACCTGCAGCACTTGCTCCGTCTGTAAGTAGCGAAAGCTACCTGGCCGGGGGCTATAGGCCCCTGAAGGGATCCCTGGTATAAAGCCTATGGTACGCTTCAATGAAGGATTCTCCATTCAGATTGGAGCTGGAGCGCAGAGGTTACGGCCCTCAATTTTGTTTGTGGCCTCTATTTGCCTCATTGGTGATAAAGTCTAGTTGAGGTCTGGGTAAGGTGTCCGGCTTCGCGATTTGGGTGCGCTGGTCTGGGCTTTGAAGTAATCAGGGGAAAAACGTATAGACTTTTATTTCACAATTGGACGCTGACCACAAACCCATCGGCACATGCAGGAGCACCTCGAAGCCTGAGCCCTCCTGCACAATAACACCCCAGGACCGCAAACCTGCAAAACAACAACACCTGAGCCTGTTTAAAGCTTTAGGATCATGTGATGGCTGATAGTCGAAAGCGAAAGCAGAATGACCTGCCTTGTGTGGGCCAGAACAGAATTTCGGCTTCAGTACCATTCGCGAAGATAAGGTCGTCCTGTCGCCATTCACTATCATAGGATGTGGACCCTGATTGAAGAACAAGTTCTTCAAGGGCCTAGGATACCTACGGGCCCTACTGCAACCGCTACAAATGCGGGGGTCTATTAGTATTTGTCCGAGGTCCAAACTAATTCAAACGCACGGCCGTAAGCCACCCACATCCTCACCAGCGCAAGCACTTAAGGGTTCCATACGGAAAACTGTAAGGGTTTGGTCTAGGGCCTTTTTTAGTTGTTGGACAAATGGCCCAGCAATACTACTCAGCGCCGTCTTCACCGTCGACAGCAATTTCGGCACTATCATCGCCATCCTCTTTTTGATCGCATCCATCATCGTTACCACCAGCAAAAACTGCTCAGCCTCCTTCCGAGGCGTCATAGACATTGTCTTAAAACAGTGATGCTCGACACCATCAACATCAAGCATAGCATTGCATGAGTGTTACCTCACTGTCGCCGTTTGCAATGACGGCTCTGTCTCGCAATGGGCAGTCTCTTTCCTTTGTCGCTCAATACACCCTCAAGTCACCCACTCCCCAACTGGAAATATGCTTCTCACATTAAAGGCTGCGAAGCATTACCTGCCTCGAAGTCGTTGCGGTGCAGACTTCACATTGTTCTGCATCGGGCACCCGCCTACAGCCTGAAGCCCACACCCACACCCAAAATCCTGCACTCCACACCCTGACCCGAAACCCAAAGCCCCACACCCCGCACCCGAAACCCTGCACCCTAAACTCTACACTCGAAACCCTGAACCCCAAGCTCCAGTCTCGAAGACCGACAGTCGCGGTCGATCCTCTGCCGCATGCAACAAAGAGATGGCATGCGTCGCGATCTTGTGGACCACCTGATGGCAACTCTGACGGTTAAGGGTTGACGGGTTTTAGGTTTTCATTTTTTTTAAGCACCCTTTTTCTTGCAGCGGAAGCCTTAGGGGGGCAGGTGTGCTGTACTTGCGGGTTTTAGGCTTAGGGTATAGGGCTCAGGGTTTGGGACTTAGGGTTTAGAGTTCCTGATTGCAACTCATAGGGCCCCACTTCCTTGGTTGTGATCCTAAGAGAGCTTGGGCTTTCAGCTTTAGCGGTTTAGGGTTCAGGGTTCGGGGCTTGGGGTTCAAAGGTTTAAGGCTCAAGGTTGCAGCGTTCACGGGCGGAGTGCTTCAGGCTTTACGGCGTGCAGACTCTTCTGATCTCTTTCGGCTCATCAGTAAGTCTAAGCCTAGAGCTTCATGTTGAGGCAGTATTCACTATTCCCTTAGATCCCGAATAGTAACGGCATGACAGCACGATGTACTAATACAAAAGACCCTCCACTTTGGCTGTTCGACTTATCTACTGCATCTGTTGTCACAGACCTTGGTCAGTCCGGGTTGAATCCATCCAGACTTCAGAGTTCGTGTCCGCAAAACGTCTCGCAGATCAAACTCCTCTTCGAGAGGAATACCTTCCAAGCTGCTGCATACTTTGATGAGGTGCTCGGTTCCAACATCTTCGGGATGTCATTTGCATCTATGGAGCACATCACCATCGCACTGTACTTCTACTGCTAGCGGGTGGCCTACGGCGGACGATTAGGAACAGTTGCTACTAAAACCTGAAATCCTGAACCCGAATCAAAACTTGCACAGCTAGTACCAAAAAAAACAAAACTGAACCGGCTACCTTCGGGTTAGTGCCGGTTTCGGGAGCTTAGGGTGCAAAACTTCAGATCAACAGCTTTTGCAATCGTCTGCCTGCTCCTGCTTGGCGCTGATGCTTCCCCTCCTAGGCATGATCTCCTGGAGTCTGTGATGGGAGGCCACAGGGGGCTTTAAGATTCTTGGGGTAGGGATTCCTTAATATGAACCCTATTATGGGAACCCTAATCCCTACTAAACCCCCATCGGCTAAAACCCCTTTTGGCCTCCTAGGAGTCTGGTGGGCTAGCTTTGTGTTTGGGGTTTAGGGTTGTGGGGGTTTAGGCTTTGTGTTTGGGGCTTAAGGTTGTGGGGGTTTAGGTTTAGGGTTTGGGGTTTAGGGTTGTGGGGGTTTAGGTTTAGGGTTTAGGGTTTGGGGTTTAGGGTTGTGGGGGTTTAGGTTTAGGGTTTAGGGTTTGGGGTTTAGGGTTGTGGGGGTTTAGGTTTAGGGTTTAGGGTTTGGGGTTTTGTAAAGAAACAGTCTGCTGTCTGCAGTGATTGATCATGTATAGGAACTGAGGATTTCGACAAGCAACGACGTTTGTGATGGCTCAAGAAAACAAGCGTGCAGGAGGCATGGCCTCCGGTAACCCCAATTCGATAAGCGACCCCGCTAGCCAGCCCGATGATCGTCAACAGGTCATGGGCCCAATGGGCGTTCCTGCACAGGAATCCAGGACCGCGAGTGCGATGATGAACGGCGTTGGCCCCTCAGGACGTGGCGTTCGGTCTTCAGGAGACGAAGCTGAGTATGAGAGGGCTTTAGCTGGTGCACATGCTGATGTGGCGCAGTCTTCGACTGAGCCTACGCAGTCTTCTGGCGTTCAACGGGATGTAAGAGCTAGTGAGCGGGCAATGAGTGATGGTCGAGGACCAGAACAGCGAGGTGAGGGTGACAGGTTGTTGTTGCCGCATGCTAGAGTTGGAGATAATACTTTGACTACGCCAATGAGGGCATCTTCAACTATGGGCTTGTGGGCACCTTCCCCGTTTCCCTCACCGATAGCGACCCCGGATGGCAGTGAACATGGAACACAAATGGGGTCGAGTTTTGCACAACAGAGTGCGGCAGCTATGAGATGGTTTAGCAGACTAGGCGAGTACGTGCAGACCAAGATGACTGCGCATACCAGGCCTGGTGGTGAGGCCACGGCAACTATGGAGGAGACGGTTTGGTCTCCCAGTCGTCCAAGGGCGGCCGAACGGGAAAGGGATCCTCTTTTCTCTGGACGGCAACTTCGGCGACTTCGGGAACTTGAAGGACAGGCACCGCAGCTGTACGGGGCTACGTCTGGGACTTCAGGGGGAGCTGGTTCAGAGGCTTCGGGATCCTATTCCAAAGAGCAGTTGGAACAGGAGGTCAGGAAGCAGGTGGAGCTGGCGATGAAGGGGCAGCGCGATCTAGCAGACGAGAACCTACGTCTAAGGCAAGAACTGGAGCATGTTCGGGCTTCAAGGACGCCGGGCGTGGGTGATGTCAATGCTGGAGAAAGGGCTGCAGCGGTTGGTTTGGGTCACGGCGAATGGGGACCACCTCCGGGTTTGGAAGGTTCTCTACACAACAGCAATCCAGCAGCAGGACTATCTGGACACAGCCGTGATCATGGGGGTCTCGCCGGTCTTCTTGATCGTGCTAAGGTACCTGTAGGCAATCCAGCAGGACTTGGGAGCCATGACGGACAGCAACCTGGTGATGGAGGTTGGCTACGTGGAGGTTCTTTGAGCAATTCTGTTGGACTGATCGGGCAAGGCATAAAGGTCGAGCAGGAGGCGAGCGATGCAAGTTTCGGCCCTGTGGGAACGTCAATGAAGGAGGTTCTACAGACAGAGGTCGAAGGGCTAAGAGGCAAGAGTGGTCGGCTACCTGAAGGCAATCCCGCGGGACTTTTAGGAGGTGATCATGAGCCACGAGGGAGAGTGAGTTTTCGAGGTGATGCTGCTGAAGTATTAGTAGAAGATAATGTACACAGCAGCAATCCAAAAGGACTATCGGGACACAGCCGTCATGGGGGTCTTTATTATGCGAAGCATGCATCAAGTACCTCTGGTCCGTTACAAGAACAGCATGCATCAAGTACCTCTGGTCACGCGAGTGTTTCTGGGAATGATGAGCAGCAGGCTTCCACGAGCTCTACGAGACCTTCGAGTTGGAACCCTCTCGGTATTGGTCAGAAACCGAGGGCTACATCACCCCTTGGAGCGCAAGACCCGAGCACGGGAAGTAGAGAGGCGGCTACCGGAGGGAGTACACCTTTGGATGCTCTGCTTCATGGAATGTCTCAGCTACAGCAGGCGATGACGCTACAGATGGGGTTGCAGGCGAACAAGCCTGAAGCAATTCGGCCGGGGGTGTCGGGCAGTGAGCTACCGAAACTTGTGGAGGCGGACGAGTATGCGGCGATCAACGTGGGAGACTGGCTGCACGGGCTGGCAGGACCGATGGGCGACTTGACTGATGGGTCGTCTACATGGTGGAGTGATGTGATGGTCAGTCTCGAGGCCTACTACAAGGAGTTCCTGGCCGCGACGACCGTGAAGAAAGTACAGCTTCGAGCCGAGGACTTTGCGGTGGCTTCCTTAAAGGAGGCTAAGTGGACAAGGTTGGATAAGAGGGCGGCGTCGATGTTACTTCAGGCCGTACCGGAGAGCATCAAGGCGGAGCTGCTGGCGAACAGGCTGGGCACTACCTTGGCGATTCTTGGTCGGATTATCACAATCTACCGACCCGGGAGCTCGGCGGAGAGACAACAAGTATTAAAAGCTCTCGAATGTCCTGGTGGAGGCAGCTCGGCCATTGAGCTTGTGGAGATCTTGAGGAAATGGTCCAGATGGTTAAAGCGTGCGGATGACTTGGGACTCCAGCCTCCAGATCCCTCGATACTCCTAAAGGGACTTGATGCAGCCACCAGACAGATCCTCGACAGGAACTCAGAGATAGCTTTCCGTACAAACTTGATGAGGTTTTCGCTGGATCTAGATGCGGCTCCGACCAAGGCAGCAATCATCAAGTTTCATGGCCACCTCTTGGCCGAATGCGAACAACTGGCCTACAGAGGACGGGGTAAGGGAAATACCTCAGGCACCCCGGCGGTGAAGGCGGCCAATGCTACTGGAGATGGGACTACATCTACGTCGACTACACCAAAGGGGGGTTCTTCACCTACGTCCGCGACGACCAGGCCATGTAAGTTCTTTCTGCAAGAGAGCGGCTGCCAGCGAGCGGGATGTAGATTTCTACATGACTGGGCAAGCATCCCGAAGGAGGAGAAGTCGGAGAGATGTAAGGGGTGTGGAGCCAAGGGCCACATGAAAAGAAACTGCCCACTGAAGATTGGTGGTGAAGTTGGACGCAAGGGAGATGACGGAAAGGGAGGAGCGCAGCCGAGGGTGAAGAACGTGAACCTACCAGCCAGCAGGTCAAGCGACAAGCGAGATGATGGAACCGTTCAGGCACCAGAGGCTGGGACAACTACGACGGCGAGTAATTCTGCGTCATCTACTACGACAAGTGACCCGGCTTCGTCATCTACGGCTACGGCTTCAAATGTTGAGCAAGGGGCGGCGGGGGATATGGATGATTTCCTGAAGAACGCGACAAAGATCCTTAAGATGATGGCGGAAAAGCAGGGAGGTCAGTCTGCTGGTCCTTCGATGAAGATGCTGAAGAAGGCTGTGAGGCGGATGGAAACCAGAATGGCTTT